TCTTAGTTTCCAAGTTCTCTTTCTACTGAACTGCTTCAGGAAAATATGAGAACACTGCCTTATACTGACAGCCTCTGGGGCAGCCTTGTTGGCAGAAGCAGTTTCTGTTAAGGTGTTTTTTTTTTTTTTTTTTTTCTTTTTTTTTTATTTCTTAAAATTTTAAAGTTTTTAATTTTACATAGACTTCTCTGTATTAATAAGAAATGGATTGAATGATTGATTGCAATGCTGGAGAAAAAAATCCAGAGTGCTGCATGTGGTAAGCAAGTTCTCTGCCACTGAGTGAACACCTAATCCACAAGAGCATATTTCAATATGATTGCTTTGTTGAAAATAAACATTTTGCCTGTAATAAACATCAAGGCAATGGGTTCTATGACAGAAAAAAGGTACACACACACACACACACACACACACACACACACACACAGTCTTCATATTTCTACAATTCTTTATTTAAATTCACATAACACCATACCATTAACTTAGTGAGAGTGAGAAAGATTTATTCTCAGCATTTTGGGTGAAGATGGATAATGTAGGCAGCACAAACTGGATTTGCTTTGTACTTGACTTTTCTTCGGATTTAGTTTCAAAAATCATTCTATCTACTATAGTTTCACATTTTTCCATTATCTAAAGCAGAGATGTTTATTGCAATATCCACCACACCCTTGAGTTTTAGTACTGGACTTTCGGTTTCCTTTTTAACAGGCGAACGGTGTTTTCAAACAACATGTTCTAGAACCATTCGGACCAAAGCTGCATAAGTATCACTTCCTCTCTGTTTTCTCCTTAATTACTTCATGTAAAATGCTTTTCCCTCACTTACTATACTCACATCTGTGTGTGTACGCAGAAGCATGTGCATATGTGTGTGTGTGTGTGTGTAAGCTCAACACTTGGGCATATATAAGCCATGCTCTTTTATTTTTTTTCCTAAGTCAGTGGCTATTACCATTTTTGACACTTTGAAAACTCACTAATATCAATTCCAGATAGATTTGTCAGAGAAGTGCCCAGTAGCTGTTTAAAATCCTCTGTATGTGGCAAGTCCTTCGCCTCTTATAACCTGCTTAGTAACCAAGGTTGGTTGCTTATTTGTTCCTTCTCGACAGGGTCAGTTTTCCCTGAGTTCATTTTACCTTAGAGAATCAAGTGTGACAAGTTAAAACCTTGGCAAGAAAACAAAACAGTCATTCTGTAGCTCTTTAAAACGACAATGAATTGTGTTATTGGCAGGGTAAGGAAAAGTCCGTCGGTGATGACGTTAGCAAGCTTGGCTTATTGACATTTCGATTGACACTCCTGGGCAAACCTAAGTATTGTTTACTAAGTCCAGGAAACTGAGATTCATAGGTTGGATCTGGAAAGAAAAGCCTACAGTTCTGTCAACTTTTAGCTTCTTACTTCTCAGGGTAATGTTTTAAAACATTGACAGGGCTGGGGTATAGCTCAGCGTAGAACATTCTTGATAGAGTGTAGTGGGCTACTGGGTTGAATTCATCAGCCCTTTAAAAATAATCATTAAGATTTTTTTAAATGAGTGACAAAATTGACTCTTCTAAATAACACATCATTTCTTACAGAAAGATGGATGTTAGAACACAAATGTTGACAAAGGGCTTTTTGAGCTAAGATTCATCACACACAACACTCAGAGAGCGTACATTAGCTACAGTTATTTCTTTGTGCCACTGGACATACATTCACACAGTTCTCTGAGAGAATGATAGGACAGTTCTAGGTGAGTGGAGAGCAATGATTCTGAAGGACTTGGTAAAGGGAAGACAGTGAGTTTGAGGGAATGTCAAGTCTCCAATTTCAATTCCTGTTATTCTACTAGTTGTGTAAAACAAGTTTTAACTTGTGCGGTTAGAATACTTTAAAGAGGGTAATCTTTTGGGGGAGTTGGTTTAGACTAGAAGGAACTAATATTTAATTTTGTGTTGCTATTAGGCAGTTTTGAACTTACATAGTGACCACATGTCATAATATCTTTTATCACTCTGCATAGAAACATCTTCACTGACTGATTATGACCATGACTGAAATTGAGAAGTGCAAATTTTCCTAAGAGATGTCTGAACATTTATAGAATAACTGTTGAGTTTTGACTCCACAACCCTAAAGTTAGATCTCTTAAAGCAGGTCTCCTGGGAAGCAGGTTTGTCTACTTCTGATCCAGACACCCGCTAACAGGTTTATCCATCTTCCCAGAACACTCACACACTTTCTGCCACTCTGGGACTTATCACAGAAACAATTGTCCGCACTTCTGGATTTAGTCCAGCATCCAGAAATCCGAGAAAACAAGAGAGGCTGCTTTGCAGCTGAACTTTATCATCTAAGCAATTCATATTAAGTAAGACAACTCCCACACGTACAACCCGGAGAGCTTTAAAAATGAGGTGGAAAAAACACACAAGCTTTAGTTATAAAGTGAGACGTTTCAATGCAGGAATACTTGAAACTCAGTTTATCCTAATAGCTTGCCCCCCCCATATCTGAATTACTGTGTTCTGGTGTGCTTTCTCTTTTATGTTAAAGGTAAATTTATTACTCATCACAATATAGCTTTATTAACCCCAAGTTAATGAAATGTAAAGCACTAGCAATTTATGAACTTCTTATGCTCAGAAAATACACTCGACCTAACGGGGATGCTTGTGCATAGCAGAAGGCAGAGTTTGTCGTCTGTGTCTTGCGTCATTGAAGCCCAGTGCTTCTGCCCTGGCCCAGCTGTCATCTCTACCTTCAGGAAGCAGCCTTAATCAGAGGCTCTGTCTGCATGGAGGAGCAGCAATGCCAATCCACTTTAATCAATTATTTAACGCATCATGCTCATAGGCTAGCAGGAGTAAACCTTTCACTCTCCCACTGCCAGAAAAACATCCGTATTCATAAACAATATGTTCCAGGAAGTGCAATCTACCTGCCATCAATAAAGCACCACTCACGACCTTGGAAACTGGTGACTCAGTGATGGTTGTCCTGTCTCTTTTATTGCCTTTTTGGAGAAAATTTACAGGAAAATTTAAAGCCTAAAAAAAGAATTAGTTCTGCCAGTGCTGCATGGATGGAAACTGCACTATTGATTTCCACATGCCTCATGATTCACTCAGGAATCTTCTCTATTTTGCCTCCACGAAAACGGAAGGATACATTATATCCCATGGCCAGAACAAGAAAATAACATTTACATTTAAAACAGGAGTTTAAGGCTGGAGTGTCTGAGGTTTGGTCCTAGCATTCAATGAAAGTTAATAGCAGTGTAATATTGTGCAAGTTCCTTTGGCATCTGTTTTTCAATGTTATTCCTATAAATGAAGATAAAATTATTAGCTATTGAGTGGTATTTAATGAAGATTATGTAGACGAACACAAGATGAATACTCTTAAAAGAGTATATATTTTATGGAAGATACAATACTATACCTCTCTCTATATTCATCCCAGATGTCCAAACATTACATAGGTAAGATATTTGTCTGCAAAAAGTCAACGCAGCACAATGTGTGCTAATACATACCTGTAATCCTAGCACTCGAGTAGAAGAAGCAGTAGTATCAGGTATTAAAGTTAATTCTCAGCTACAAAATGAGTTTGAGTAAGCCTGGAACTCATGAGACTATATTTCAAAGATATCATGATAAATAATAGATAGTAAATAGATAGATAAATAGACAGACAGACAGACAGATGATAGATACACAGACGGATAGAAAGAACACGTTTGTGAGACCATATTTCTCTTTGCGATAGCTACAAAATTCTTAAACCAGAAGTCTCCTATGTCTTTTCAGCCAGAAAGTAGGAGCACGGCATACTGAAGGAGCCTATTCTTGACATGAAGGAGACATTGATTTGAGTCCACAATGGCTATTAACTTACTGTGACCATTCCAGATTTATCTCTACCTTTCTGCCTTAGTGTCTGAACTACAAAAGGAATGGAATATTCTAGTCTTTTCTAGACTGTAGTACCCTACTATCACCCAATCTTTGAAAGATAAATGGAAACTGTTAAATGAATTCAGCCACTGTGAGAATGAGCAAACAGGACGCATTTTTCCCTTGAACATTTGTGTGTGCCACGTTTTATTATGGGCTCAAGCTGGGGGTATGGAATTTGAACACGACAAGCAAGCATGCTTATCTCCTGGAGTTTATCTTCTAGAGAAGAGAGTCCTTTAATCAGTAGTCGACTAACAAATAAACAACACAATTCCAGGCAGTGATAGGGCTGGGAAGAAATTCACATATGACAAAGGATACAGAGTAAAGGCAGCTGGAGCCTGAGGGGTCCGGGAAGTTCTCTCCTCAGCACCCCCTTTGTATTGGAGGCTAAAGGGCAAAATAAGGCAAGCTTGAGAAAACTTAAAGAAAAGAATAGTTGAAAGATCAAATGGAACTTAACTCCCTAAGGCAGAACTTAGCCTGAGTCAGGACAGTAAGGAGAAACAGAAAGAGCTTGGGAGGGTGTTGGAAGAGATGAAGCTCAAATGGCAGGGTAGACTCTATAACCCCCAGCTATGGCAAGGTGTTAAAGGTTCATTGTGAACACAGCAAAAGTCACTGAGCAAAACTAAACAAGAGGTGCTGTGTGATTGGCAGGGTGGATTGTGAAACGAGATGTAGTCTCAACTCTCTAAGCAGGCGGCCGAACCTTTCACGTTATTACTTCTGTGGTTCTAAGCCCTTGCCTCCACTAAGCCCTCAAGTGAGAGACAGATCATTTGCTCCAATAATACAACTCATATTTGCTTCTTTGTAGTACTAGAGAAGTAGGAATCCTTTTTGACTCTGTTTGGAAGTCAGACGGGTACAGAAGTTGAAGCAATGAGAAGCCATTGGCTACCATTCTTTCACCTCTCTCATGCAGTGGTTTAAAGCATTTTTATTCTTACATGAACTGAGAAGAAAACAAAAAGAGGACATATACTGGAAATCTTTAAAAAAGAGAGAGAGAGAGAGGCCAGTCGAGACGGAGGAGACAAGATGGCGTTGCGAGCTATGCGGGGAATCGTGAACCGGGCCGCGCCCGAGCTGCCTGTGCCCACCGGTGGACCGATGGCCGGAGCTCGGGAGCAGGCGCTGGCAGTGAGCCGAAACTACCTCTCCCAACCTCATCTCACCTACAAGACTGTCTCAGGAGTGACCGGCCCACTAGTAATCTTAGATTACGTGAAGTTTCCCAGATATGCTGAGATTGTCCACTTGACCTTACCGGATGGCACAAAAAGAAGTGGGCAAGTTCTAAAAGTTAGTGGCTCCAAAGCAGTGGTTCAGGTATTTGAAGGGACATCAGGTATAGATGGCAAGAAAACATCCTGTGAGTTTACTGGGGATATTCTCCAGACACCAGTGTCAGAGGATATGCTTGGTCGGGTATTCAATGGATCAGGAAAACCCATTGACCGAGGTCCTGTGGTGCTGGCTGAAGACTTCCTTGACATCATGGGTCAGCCAATCAACCCTCAGTGTCGGATCTACCCAGAGGAGATGATTCAGACGGGCATTTCTGCCATTGATGGCATGAATAGTATTGCTAGGGGACAGAAAATTCCCATTTTTTTCTGCTGCTGGATTGCCGCGCAATGAGATTGCTGCTCAGATCTGTCGCCAGGCTGGTTTGGTAAAGAAATCCAAAGATGTAGTGGACTACAGTGAAGAAAATTTTGCCATTGTGTTCGCTGCTATGGGGGTAAACAAGGAAACAGCCCGGTTCTTCAAATCTGACTTTGAAGAAAATGGCTCAATAGACAATGTCTGCCTCTTTTTGAACTTAGCTAACGACCCAACCATCGAGAGAATCATCACTCCCCGCCTGGCTCTGACCACCGCTGAGTTTCTGGCTGACCAGTGTGAGAAGCATGTCCTGGTCATTCTGACAGATAGGAGCTCTTACGCTGAACCGCTTCGAGAGGTTTCAGCAGCCACGGAAGAGGTTCCTGATCGGCGAGGTTTCCCAGGCTACAGGTACACCGACTTAGCCACGATCTATGAACATGCTGGGAGAGTGGAAGGTAGAAATGGCTCCATTACTCAAATCCCTATTCTCACCATGCCCAATGATGATATCACTCATCCCATCCCTGACTTGACTGGGTATATTACTGAGGGGCAGATCTATGTGGACAGGCAGCTGTACAACAGACAGATTTACCCACCTATCATGTGCTGCCCTCGTTTTCTCGGTTGATGAAATCGGCTATTGGAGAAGGGATGACCAGAAAGGACCATGCTGGCGTCTCTAACCAGCTGTATGCATGCTACGCTATTGGCAAGGATGTGCAAGCCACGAAAGCTGCGGTGGGAGAAGAAGCGCTGACCTCAGATGACCTTCTTTACTTGGAATTTCTGCAGAAATTTGACAAAAACTTCATTTCTCAGGGTCCCCATGAAAACCGCACCGTCTATGAGACTTTGGACATTGGCTGGCAGTTGCTTTGAATCTTCCCCAAAGAAATGCTGAGGAGAATCCCTCAGAGCACCCTGAGCGAATTTTACCCTCGAGATTCTGCAAAGCACTAGCTACTGCTGCTCGTGTGGCCTCATTGGCGTGACCCTCTTGTGAAGTACTGGTTCTGTTTCCTGATTCCTTTTGCACTCCTCTGCCCCCACCTTGTGCGGGAATTTACTTACCTGTTACTCTGTAATTAGAAACAAAGGCTAGGTAACTACTGTGCCAGTGTTGCAAGGTTTAAACTGCTAACAGAATGGAAGATTCCCGCCTGGAAAACCTTATCCTCAGCGTGTTCTTTAAAGGAGCTGAGGGGTGGCATGAAGTTTGTTCTGATGTATGTATTTGTACATAGTGGAACGCTAGTTGCTAATAATGTCTTGTTTGGGTCTCCCAAACCCTACCTCTCAACTCCCTTAAGAGTACCACTGTTTTGAAGTTAAAATGCTTCCGTCAAATTTAGGGGCAAGGTGGAGATTGGAAGAATTCTCCGTTCAGAAAAACCATGAGGCTCTTGACTGAGCCTTCCCTCTGGAGTGCTGGTGGGTCTGTGGGTCTGTCCTCTGCTCTGCAGATGGGTCTTACTGTCCGCTTGTGCTTTCTTATGAGACGAGTTTCTTTCTGCCACTGCTATGAGTTGGAATTCCTGTGTGGCATCCTTTTTTGTGGCTCACCCAGACTCATGCAACATTGCACAGTTGGTACCACGCTGGCAGTGGTGACATGTCTTGTGCTGGTAATTCCCACTGGGCTACAGTCAAAGAATTGAGACTTAGAAAAAGCTGGGGTACGGATCAGAGAAAGCCTCATCCTGTGTTTATGGTGGTTCAGGTCTCTGTTACCTCCTAGATCCTGGGGTAGGGTGTGCAAATGGTGATGACCTGCCCTTGGGTTTGCTGTTATTTTCAACTCTTGTTCAATCCCCAGGCTCTCTGACCCAGCTCCTCCTTTCTATCATTCCTGCTCCTTCCTGGTGTGAACCGTTAGCTATAGTCTGTGTTCCTCTGCCATGTCTGTTGTTGAGTCTCTGTGCTGTGTGTTCTCAGGTACAGCAGTAACTTCCCCATTCTGTGCATTCCATCTTCCAGTTGTTGTTCTCTGAGGGGATAGTAGTCAGCATGATTATATTTTAATGTAGAAAATGTGACATCTTGTTATAAATGGAAATAAATAAATGCTAAATTAAATGGGAAGAGAGAGAGAGAGAGAGAGAGAGAGAGAGAGAGAGAGAGAGAGAGAGA